AGAGAAATTGAAAAGATTGTAGTAGTAGAGAGAGGGATGGGAGAAGGTAGGTAAGATGATAGAGTATAAGAAAAGAGTAGGTATATATAATATATGAATAAGAAGAGAGGATAAGTGAGAGTGTGTATATACATGTATTAAGTGTATGGTGAATGGTATAGATGGAATATATATATATATGATATATAATAGTAGTAGGTAATATATCTATAGTATTATTATATAGTATGTATGATATGGTATACATACTATAGTAATAAAGTATATATTATAAATCTATATTTATATTAGTTAGTTATCTACAATATATAGTATTAATATATTATATAGTTAATCTATTTATACAGTAATATATAGATAATAGTATATATATATTATATAGGTATATAATAGTAAGAGAGAGAGTATATAAGTAATATGAGAGAGAGAGAGATAGAGGCATAGAGTATATAAGTGAAGAGATATATAGATGAGAAATATATAAAGAGTGGATTGATGGTGTGTGTGTGAATGTGGTTTTGTGTATATCTGTGATGTGTGGTATGATAGGTGTAGTGTGTGTGTGTGTGTGTGTGTGTGTGTGGATGTGTGTGTAGATATGTGTGTGATAGTGTGTGTAGTGTGTGGTGATAGATGTGTGTGTGTGTGTGATGTGTGTGTGTGTGTGTGTGTGTGAGTGTGGTGTATTGTGATGGTGTGTGTGTGTGTGTGTGTGTGTGTGTGTAGGTTGTGTGTGTGTGCGGTATATCAATCATTTTCAACGCGTAAACAAAGATCATTTTCCAAACTACACATGGGATTGACGGACCGTAAGAATTTACAAAAATAAAAACAAAAAATAAGGAATACTTGACGAAATATCTATTTGTAAAGACTGGCAAACACAAATACAAATGCACAAACACATACAAGACATACTTAACTTTTCTTAATTCATATTTTTCATAAATCAAAAAATACTTACACCTTCCAAAAAGCTTCCATCGATAGCAATGGGTTCAACCGCCGCCATTTTTAGCAGGGATAATAAACGCACGATAACTAATTCAAATTACTCCCGAAGAGATAAGAATACGAGTCCGGTGATAAAAGGCCACGTGTAGGGGTTCCTGTCGCCGTCGTGTCCGGAGAGACTGGGAGGAGCGTGACGTCACTTTATGTCTGGTTTGGTCATCTGTCAACAGAGAATATATACGTATAGTCTTTGATCTGTCAACACATGACAAGAGGTGGCTAAATAGTTTTATATGTCTGGTTTAGTCATCAGTTAAAAATGCCAAGAGGTGGCTAAATAGTTTATATGTCTGATTTAGTCTTCTGTTAAAAATGTCAAGAGGTAGCTAAATAATTTATATGTCTGATTTGAGCATCTATCAAGACTGTCAATTAGTGGCTATATAGTTTATAGGCAAGATCCCCAAGATGTGGCTATATAGAGGAATGAAGACAATGTATGTACCACATTCTCTCAAGGGTAGTTATCGTTACTGTTATTATTACCGTTTTGATAATTGTTCTTATTATCAACATTACTATAATAATAATAATAATAACAATAATAATAATAACTATTGTTATTATCATTCTCATTGTTATCATTAGTATTATTATCATTGTTATTATTATTAATATTATTATTATCATTGTTATTATCATTATGACTTATGTTATTATCATCATTATGATTATTATTATCATTCTTTCTATTTATGTCATTATTATTACTATTGTAATTATTGTTGTTTTTGTTATAATGATAATAATAATAATTATCATCATCATTGTTATTATCGTCATCATTATTATCATCCTTATTATCAGCATCATTTCTATTATCATTGCTATTATGTTTGTTGCTGTTGCTATTATTGTTATTATCATTATCATTGCTATCATTATTATCATCATTATTATTGCGACTGTTTTGTTGCTCTTGTTGCACCACCTTCGAGCAAGGGAAGGTAGTGTTGCATACATGTGGTGGTAGTGATGCCTAACATGCATATAAGATGATGATTATTATCACTGTTATTATTATAATCATAATTATTGTTATTATCATTATTATTATCACTATGATGATGATTATTATTGTTATTGTTATTATTATGATCATTATTGTTATTATTATTGTTATTATTAGTATTATTACTTTTATCACTACTGGAATTGCTACTATTATTTTCATTATCGTTATTATTTCCATTATTACTATTAATGTCATGATTATTATTGTTATCATTACTATCAAAATCATCATTATTGTTATTATTATTGTTACGGTTATCATTATTATATTCATTATTAGTAGTATTACTATCATCATTACCATTATTATTATTATTATTATCGTAATCATTATTATCATTACTATCATTATTATCATAATCATCAATAATAATGTTGTCATTATTGTTATGATCATTAATTTGTTCTTATCATTATCATTATCACTATTATCATTATCATTATTATCTTTATTATTATCGTTATTATTATTAACATTATCATTATTATCACTATTATCATTTTGTTATTATCATTATTATTGTCATCATCATTATCATTATAGCTATCATTATCATTGTTGTTAATACTATTATTACTACTCTCTTTATCATTAATGTCATTCATTATAATCATAATTAATGTTATTACAGTTATCAATACTGTCACGGTGTAGTCGTCGCCTCGTCGCGCGGTTAGACATGGTTCTGCCAGCTGTGCCCCACGACCCGGCGTAGGAACTTGTTACAAAGGGCATCGAGACGCAACTCCAGGGCACTAGAAGGATCCTTAGTAAACTAGGGAGGGAGAGTAGGATCTCTAGCGTAAGGCTAAGGGGGATGAGGGGTAATAGGTAACTGTTTAATAGGTAGCGTCCGGGTTTCGCTTCCATAGAGCAGAACTGGCAGTAACCTAAGAAGGCCTTGAAGTCAGGCAAGAGAAAGACAGAAAGAAGTGACAAAGAGAGACAAAGACATAGAAGAATAAGATAAAGAGAAAGACACAAAGAAGTGACAAAGAGAGACAAAGACATAGAGAATTACATAAAGAGAAAGACACAAAGAGAGACCAAGACAAATAACGGAGAGAGATAGACGAACGCAACTTAGTCCTTCTGCATAGGTACTGGCACCTCCAAATATTCTTGCTGACCGGGTTCATGTTTCCTGCTGTCAGACCACTCCGTCTACTGACTTCCTGGTCTGACCAGAGGACTGCAGTACCAAGGTATGTGTAGCTCTCTGTTCTCCTCCTAGGAGGAGGAACCCCAACTGGAGGCACAGGAGGAGGCCCAGTAGGAGTAACCCGAGCTGGAGGCCCAGGAGGAGGAACCCGAACTGGAGGCCAAGGAGGAACCCGAACTGGAGGCCTAGGAGGAGGACCCGAACTGGAGGCCAAGGAGGAACCCGAACTGGAGGCCTAGGAGGAGGAACTCGAGCTGGAGGCCCAGGAGGAGGAACCCGAGCTGGAGGCAGGAGGAACCCGAGGAGGAGGCCCAGGAGGAGGAACCCGAGCTGGGGGCCCAGGAGGAGGCCCAGGAGGAACCCGAGCTGAAGCCCAGGAGGAGAACTGAGGCCCAGGAGGAGGAACCCTGAAGGCCCAGGAGGAGGAACGCTGAGCTGGAGGCCCAAGGAGGAGGAACCTGAGCTGGAAGGCCCTAGGAGGAGGAACCCGAACTGGAGCCAGGAGGAGGACCCGACCTGGAGGCCCAGGAGGAGGAACCCGAACTGGAGGCCCAGGAGGAGGAACCCGAGCTGGAGGCCCAGGAGGAGGAATTAGGAGGAACCCGAGCTGGAGGCCCAGGAGGAGGCCCAGGAGGAGGAACCCGAACTAGAGGCCCAGGAGGAGGAACAGCCGAACTGGAGGCCCAGGAGGAGGAGGGAGGCCAAGGAGGAGGAACCCAGCTGGAGGCCTAGGAGGAGGAACCCGAGCTGGAGGCCCAGGAGGAGGAACGAGCTGGAAGGAGGGAAGGAACGAGCTGGAGGCTAGGAGGAGGAACCCGAGCTGGAGGTCCAGGAGGAGGAACCTGAGCTGGAGGCCCAGGAGGAGGAACCCGAGCTGGAGGCCTAGGAGGAGGAACCCGAGCTGGAGGTCCAGGAGGAGGAACCTGAGCTGGAGGCCCAGGAGGAGGAACCCGAGCTGGAAGGCCTAGGAGGAGGAACGGCTGGAGAGGAGGAACGAGCTGGAGGCCCAGGAGGAGGCTGGAGGCCCCCGAGCTGGAGGCCCAGGAGGAGGAACCCGAGTTGGAGGCCCAGAAGGAGGAACCCGAACTGTAGGCCCAGGAAGGAGGAACCCGCGAAGCTGGAGGCCCAGGAGGAGGAACCCGAGCTGGAGGCTCAGGAGGAGGAACCTGAGCTGGAGCCCAGGGGAGGAACCCGAGCTGGAGGCTAGGAGGAGGAAACCCCAGAGAGGAGGAGGAACCGAGGAGGCCCAGAAGGAGAACCCGAACTGTAGGCCCAGGAGAGGAACCCGAACTGGGGGCCCAGGAGGAGAACCCTGGAGGCCCAGGAGGAGGAACCCGAACTGAGGAACCCGAACTGGGGCCCAGGAGGAGAACCCGAGCTGGGGCCCAGGAGGAGGAACCGAGGGAGGCCCAGGAAGGAGGAACCTGAGCTGGAGGCCAGGAGGAGGAACCCCGAGCTGGAGGCCCAGGAGGAGGAACTGGAGGAGGATGGAGCCACAGGAGGAGGAACCCGAACTGGAGGCCAAGAGGAGGAACAGAGAGGAGAGCCCAGGAGGCCAAGGAGGAGGAAACCCGCAGGGAGGCCCAGGAAGGAGGAACCGAACTGGAGGCCCAGGAGGAGGAACCCGAGCTGGAGGTCAGGAGGAGGACCAAGCTGGAGGCCCAGGAGGAGGAACCGAGCTGGAGGTCCAGGAGGAGGAACCCGAACTGGAGGCCAAGGAGGGGACCCAAAGCTGGAGGAGAGGAACCCGAACTGAAGGCCAGGAGGAGGACCCGAACTGGACCAGGAGGAGGAACCCGGCTGGAGGCAGGAGGAGGAACCCGAACTGAGGGAGGCCCAGGAGGAGGAACCGAGCTGGAGGCCAGGAGGAGGAACCCGAACCGGAGGCCCAGGAGGAGGAACCCGAGCTGGAGGCCCAGGAGGAGGAACCCGAACTGAAGGAAGGAGGGAGGAACCTCTGGAGCCCAGGACGAGGAAACCCGAGCTGGAGGCCAGGACGAGGAACCCGACTGGAGGTCCAGGACGAGGAACCCGACTGGAGGGAGGACCCCGGGAGGCCCAGGAGGAGGAAACCCGAACTGGAGGCCGAGGAGGAGGAACCCGAAGGCCCAGGAGGAGGAACCGAACTGGAGGCCCAGGAGGAGGAACCCGAACTGGGGGCCCAGGAGGAGGACCCGAACTGAGGCCCAGGAGGAGCTGAGGCCCAGGAGGAGGAAACCCGAGCTGGAGGCCCAGGAAGAGGAACCTGAGCTGGAGGCCCAGGAGGAGGAACCAGAGATGGAGGCCCCAGGAGGAGGAACCCAGCTGGAGGTCCAGGAGGAGGAACCCGAGCAGCAGGAGGAACCGAGCTGAAGGCCTAGGAGGAGGAACCCGAGCTGGAGGCCCGAGCTGAGGAGGAGGAACCCGAGCTGGAGGCCCAGGAGGAGGAACGAGCTGGAGGCCCAGGAGGAGGAACCAGAGATGGAGGCCCAGGAGGAGGAACCCGAGCTGGAGGTCCCAGGAGAGGAACCCAGGAGGCCAGGGAGGAGCTGGAGGCCCAGGAGAAGGACCTGAGCTCTGAACTGGAGGCCAGGAGGAGGAACCTGAGGGGAGGCGGAGGAGCCCAGGAGGAGGAACCCGAGCTGGAGGAGGAGGAGGAACCTGAGCTGGAGGCCCAGGAGAAGGAACCCAGGGCCCAGGAGGAGGAACCCGAGCTGGAGGCCCAGGAGGAGGAACCCGAGCTGGAGGCCAGGAGGAGGACCTGAGCTGGAGGCCCAAGGAGGAGACCCGAGCTGGAGGCCCAGGAGGAGGAAAGAGCTGGAGGCCCAGGAGGAGGAACCGAGCTGGAGGCCCAGGAGGAAGGAACCCGAGCTGGAGGCCCAGGAGGAGGAACCCGAGCTGGAGGCCCAGGAGGAGGAACCCGAGCTGGAGGCCCAGGAGGAGGAACCCGAGCTGGAGGAACAGGAGTCCAGGGAGGAGGAACCCGAGGCTGGAGGCCTAGAGGAGGAACCCGAGCTGGAGGCCCAGGAGGAGGAACCCGAGCTGGAGGAACAGGAGTCCCAGGAGGGGAACCCGAGCTGGAGGCAGGAGGAGGAACCCAAGCTGGAGGCCTAGGAGGAGGACCTGAGCTGGAGGGGAGGAACCCGAGCTGGAGGCCAGGAGGAGGACCCGAAGGAAGACCCAGGAGGAGGAACCCGAACTGGAGGTCCAGAGGAGGACCCGAGCTGGAGGTCCAGGAGGAGGAACCGAGCAGGGAGGCCCAGGAGGAGGAACCCGAACTGGAGGCCTAGGAGGAGGAACCCGAACTGGAGTCCGGAGGAGGAACCCGAAGCTGGAGGCCCAGGAGGAGGAACCTGAGGCTGGAGGCCAAGAGAGGAAAGCCCGAGCTGGAGGCCAGGAGGAGGAACCCGGAGCTGGAGGCCCAGGAGGAAGGAACCCGAAACTGGAGGCCACTGGAGGCCCTAGGAGGACCCGAGGAGGCCCAGGAGGAGGAATCCGAACTGGGAGGCCGAGGAGGGGAGGAGGAACCCGAACTGGAGGAGAGGAACCCTGAGGAGGAGGGAACCCGAGCTGGAGGCCAGGAGGAGGAACCCGAGCTGGAGGCCCAGGAAGAGGAACCTGAGCTGGAGGCCAGGAGGAGGAACCCGAGATGGAGGCCCAGGAGGAGGAACCCGAGCTGGAGGTCCAGGAGGAGAACCGAGCTGGAGGCAGGAGGAAGGAACCCGAGGCCAGGAGGAGGAACCGAGGGAGGCAGGAGGAACCCGAGGGAGGCCTAGGAGGAGGAAACCGAGCTGGAGGCCCAGGAGGAGGAACCCGAGCTGGAGGAACAGGAGTCCCAGGAGGAGGAACCCGAGCTGGAGGCCCAGGAGGCCAGAACCCGAGCAGGAGGCCCAGGAGGAGGAACCCGAGCTGGAGGCCCAGGAGGAGAAACCCGAATGGAGGACTGGGGAGGAACCCGAGCTGGAGCCCAGGAGGAGGAGAGCTGGAGGCCGAGGAGGAGAGAACCTGAGCTGGAGGCCCAGGAGGAGGAACCCGAGCTGGAGGCCTGAGCTGGAGGCCAGGAGGAGGAAACCCGAACTGGAGGCCCAAGGAGAAGGAACCCGAGCTGGAGGTCCAGGAGGAGGAGAGAGGAGGCCCCGGAGGCCCGAGCTGAAGGCCCAGGAGAGGAACCTGAGCTGGAGGCCAGGAGGAAGGAACCCGAGCTGGAGGCCCAGGAGGAACTCGAGCTGAGGCCCAGAGAGGAACCTGAGCTGGAGGAACAGGAGGCCCAGGAGGAAGGGACCGAGCTGGAGGCCCAGGAGGAGGAACCCGAGCAGGAGGCCCAGGAGGAGGAACCCGAGCTGGAGGCCCAGAGGAGGAACCCCGAGCTGGAGGCCCAGGAGGAGGAACTGAGCTGGAGGCCCAGGAGAGGAACCCGAGCTGGAGGCCAGGAGGAGGAACCCGAGCTGGAGGCCCAGGAGGAGGAACCGAGCTGGAGGCCCAGGAGGAGGAACCCGAGCTGGGCCCAGGAGGAGGAACCCGAGCTGGAGGCCCAGGAGGAACCTGGAGAGGAAGGAACGGCGTGAGGCCCAGGAGGAGGAAACCCGAGCTGGAGGCCCGGAAGGAGGAACCGAACTGGGAGGCCCAGGAGGAGGAACCCGAGCTGGAGGCCCAGGAGGAGGAACCCAGAGCTGGAGCCCAAGGAGAGAACCGAGCTGGAGGCCCAGGAGGAGGAACCCGAGCTGGAGGCCCAGGAGGAGGAGAGGACCCGAGTGGAGGCCCAGGGAGGAGAACCCGAAGGGAGGCCAGGAGGAGGAACCGAGCTGGAGGCCCAGAAGGAGGACCCGAGCTGGAGGCCAGGAGGAGGAACCTGAGCTGGAGGCCCAGGAGGAGGAACCCGAACTGGAGGCCCAGGAGGAGGAGGAACCCGAACTGGAGGCCCAGGAGGAGGAACCCGAACTGGAGGCCCAGGAGGAGGAACCGAGCTGGAGGCCCAGGAGGAGGAACCGAGCAGGAGCCCGAGGAGGAGGAACCCGAACTGGAGCAGGAGGAGGCCCGAGGAGGAGGAACCTGGAGGCCCAGCTGAGCTGGAGGCCAAGGAGGAGGAACCCGAGCTGGAGGCCCAGGAGGAGGAACCCGAGCTGGAGGCCCAGGAGGAGGAACCCGAGCTGGAGGCCCAGGAGGGGAACCCGAGCTGGAGGCCCAGGAGGAGGAACCCGAGCTGGAGGCCCAGGAAGAGGAACCCGAGCTGGAGGCCAAGGAGGAGGAACCGAACTGGGGGCCCAGGAGGAGGAACCCGACTGGAGGCCAGGAGGAGGAACCGAACTGGAGGCCCAGGAGGAGGAACCCGAACTGGAGGCCAGGCCTGGAGGCCCAGGAGGGAACCCGACTGGAGGAGGAGGAGGACCCGAGCTGGAGGCCCAGGAGGAGGAACCCGAGCTGGAGGCCAGGAGGAGGAACCCGAGGGAGGCCCAGGAGGAGGAAGGCTGGGGGCCAGGAGGAGGAAACCAGAGATGGAGGCCCAGGAGGAGGAACCCGAGCTGGAGGTGCCAGGAGGAGGAACCCGAGCGGAGGCCCAGGAGGAGGAACCCGAGCTGAGGCCCAGGAGGAGGAACCCGAGCTGAGGCCTAGGAGAGGAACCCGAGCTGGAGGCCCAGGAGGAGGAACTCGAACTGGAGGCCCAGGAGGAGGAACCCGAGCTGGAGGCCAGGAGTCCAGGAGGAGGAACCCGAGCTGGAGGCCCAGGAGGACCCGAGCTGGAGGCCCAGGAGGAGGAACCCGAGCTGGAGGCCCAGGAGGAACCCGAGCTGGAGGCCCAGGAGGAGAACCCGAGCTGGAGGCCCCAGGAGGAGGAACCCGAGCTGGAGGCCAGGAGGAGGAACCGAGCAGGAGGCCCAGGAGGAGGAAACCGAGCTGGAGGCCCAGGAGGAGGAACCTGAGAGGAGCCCCAGGAGGAGGAACCCGAGCTGGAGGAAAGGAGGAGGAACCGAGCTGGAGGCCCAGGAGGAGGAACCGAGCTGGAGGAACAGGAGTCCCAGGAGGAGGAACCCGAGCTGGAGGCCCAGGAGGAGGAACCCGAGCTGGAGGCCCAGGAGGAGGAACCCGAGCTGGAGGAACCCAGGAGGAAGAGCTGGAGGCCCAGGAGGAGGAACCCGAGCTGGAGGCCAGGAGGAGGAAACCGAGCTGGAGGCCCAGGAGAGGAACCCGAGCTGGAGGCCCAGGAGGAGGAACCGAGCTGGAAGGCCCAGGAGGAGGAACCCTGAGGCCCAGGAGGAGGCCGAGCTGGAGGAGGAGGAGGACCCGAGCTGGAGGCCCAGGAGGAGGAACCCGAGCTGGAGGCCCAGGAGGAGGAACCCGAGCTGGAGGCCTAGGAGGAGGAACCGAGCTGGAGGCCTAGGAGGAGGAACCTGAGCTGGAGGCCCAGGAGGAGGAACCTGAGCTGGAGGCCCAGGAGGAGGAACCCGAACTGGAGGCCCAAGAGAAGGAACCGAGCAGGAGGAGTCCAGGAGGAGAAACCCGAGGAGAGGAGAGAGGAACCGAGCTATAGGCCAGGAGGAGGAATCCGAGCTGAGGCTCAGGAGGAGGCCCAGGAGAAGGAACCCGAGCTGGAGGCCAAGGAGGAACCCGAGCTGGAGGGAGGAGGAACCCGAGCTGGAGGAACAGGAGTCCAGGAGGAGGAACCGAGCTGGAGGCCAGGAGGAGGAACCGAGCTGGAGGAACAGGAGTCCAGGAGGAGGAACCCGAGCTGAGGCCCAGGAGAGGAACCGAGCTGGAGGCCAGGAGGAGGAACCCGAGCTGGAGGCCAGGAGGAGGAGAGTGGAGGCCCAGGAGGAGGAACCCGAGCTGGAGGCCCAGGAGGAGGAACCCGAGCTGGAGGCCCAGGAGGAGGAACAGGAGTCCAGGAGGAGGAACCCGAGCTGGAGGCCCAGGAGGAGGAACCCGAGCTGAGCCCAGGAGTGGAGGCCCAGGAGGAGGAACCCGAGCTGGAGGCAGGAGAGGAACCAGAGAGGCCGGAGGAGGAACCCGAGCTGGAGCCCCAGGAGGAGGGAACCCGAGCTGGAGGCCCAGGAGGAGGAGGAACCGAGCTGGAGCCCAGAGAGGAACCCGAGCTGGAGGAAAAGGAGTCCCAGGAGGAGGAAACCCGAGCTGGAGCCCAGGAGGAGGAACCCGAGCTGGAGGCCAGGAGCCCTGGAGGAGGAGGAGGAGCCCAGGAGGAGGAACCCGAGCTGGAGGCCAGGAGGAGGAACGAGCTGGAGGCCCAGGAGGAGGAACCTGAGCTGGAGGCCCAGGAGGAGGAACCCGAACTGGAGGCCCAAGAGAAGGAACCCGAGCTGGAGGAACAGGAGTCCCAGGAGGAGAAACCCGAGCTGGAGGCCCAGGAGGAGGACCGAGCTATAAGGCCCAGAGGAGGAACCGAGCTGGAGGCCAGGAGGAGGCCCAGGAGAAGGAACCCGAGCTGGAGGCCCAGGAGGAGGAACCTGAGCTGGAGGCCCAGCTGTGTGTGTGTGCGTGTGTGTGTGTGTAGTAACTCTTTCGCTTCCTCGCCTCTTAACTCTTTAATCTCCTCTCTCTCGCTCTTTCTTTCTCTCTCGATCATTCTTTTTTTTTTTCTCTCTCTCGCTCTTTTTCCCATTCTCTCTCTCTCTCCCTCAGGGATGCAAATGAGCCGTAACAAGCGCCAGAGCGTAAGCATAAAATATTTCGAACACACCTTGTCTTTATTTAAACTGAGTTGCGCCATCCTTTACAATTCAACGTGGCAAGCGAGGAGGCTTCTATATGAACGGAGCCATCGGGTTGAGGGTGAGTGGTGTTGTTGTGGTTGCTCTCTCTCTCTTCCTTCTCTCTCTCTCTCTCTCTCTCTCTCTCTCTCTCTCTCTCTCTCTCTCTCTCTCTCTCTCTCTCTTCTCTCTCTCTCTCTCCTCTCTCTCTCTCTCTCTTCTCTCTCTCTCTTTTCGATTCCACACTTTTAGCTATGCATTTTTTTCTTCAAAGAGGAATTTTTGACGTGGCAACTCAGTTGCCGCTACTCGAGAGTTTTCACACCGTGTCACTAGTTGCCGCAACTGCCCATTATTTATTATGGGCTTTTTGAAGGATCTCTTCTGTAGTTCCTTTTTAGACACCAGTTCCTTGAATGATGGGCAGTTGCTTGAGGCTGCTGTTGCAAGAATTGTTTGTGTATGTTGAAAATGCATTGCAATTCATCGGGTACTATGACTAGTTGCCTTGTGAGAATGGTGCTAAACTACAGTATTATAAAACTAGAAACATACACATATGCATATATGCACACGCACGCAACGCACCACACACACACACACACACACACACACACACACACACACACACACACACACACACACACACACACACACACACGAGTTTTCCATTTAGTGTTTAGTAAGTGCACACACACACACACACACACACACACACACACACACACACACACACGCGCGCGCGCACACGCACACGCACACACACACACACACACACACACACACACACACACACACACACACACACACACACACACACACACACACACACACACACACAATTTTCCATTTAGTGTTTAGTAAGTGCCACTAATCAATGGTTAATAAGTACAAAGCAAAATAAATGAGCTAGACATCAAAGGCTATGTAGCACTATAGAAAGTGGTAGTAGTGGAAAGAGTAAAAGGGTGATTTAGCTGATGATTAAATGTGCTACACGTCACAAGTCGTACGGCAGTTTAGGTTAGTATGTCATTCAAAACGGTAAGTAGGGCGGGGGGAGGGGTAGAGAGGGTGAGTAAATGGGTTTTTAAGGGTAAGGATCAGCAAAAGGGTAATTAAATATCAAAGTTGCCAAAGGGAAAAGGGTGGGACTCTACAAAGATGTCCATGGGCGAATGAATGAGACTTGAGTAATGTCATAGCGTGATGGATACATTTGGCGGGCTAAGAAATTGTTCAGTCTCATTCCTGCTTTGTTTTTTCTGCATCCCTACATCTTTCGTAAATGTAATATAATACCCTTTCTCTCTCGGTGACTGTATGCTCCCGAGAAAGAGACAGATAGATGGAAATGTCCTTTGTCACATATTTTTAGTCTCGCTGTTGAAAATGCTGTAGATTATCCTCAAACGATTCCTGTGCAGAGAAAGTAGCTCTGTACTCTCAGTGTCTAAGAGTTTTCATTTATTTCTACCTTGTCTATGGTACTCAGTTTTCAATCCCTGAGTCTGTAAAAGCCACCCGAGGACTTGGATCACCATTTCTCATCTCCAGTTAATTGAATCAATGAACTAAATTTATTCTAGTAAATAATGCCACGTTCCTATGATCTCTCAACCTCACACAAGTCCTGAGGCAAATAAATTCATTGTTGACCTATACAAAGGCTGATTCTAGGATGGCTTCAAAATATTAAAATCCAGCGCAGTGCAATATAGTGATGAATGATGACTGTCATTGGTCTCTTTGCAACGCTGCAATTGCACTTAATCTAAAATTTCTGCCAGTTCGATTAACTGTGCATTTATAACAAACATAATACTAATCGCTGAATTATGCAAGATTTCCTTGGATGCAGTATTGCACATATAATGACAAAACCTACTAAGAAAAATAAAACGAATGGGACTGCTAAAATGTGGTTAGCAAAAAAAAAAAAAATAATAATAATAATAATAACAAAATAAAAAATATGATAAATAAATAAATAAATAAATAAATAGATAAATAGATAGATAATAATAGAAAACGAGATTAAAGTCCCGAGAAGTGGAAACCTTTATCTGGTCAACGCAGGGTATGAGTGAGAAACCTGTCCACAGGGAACTAAAATTGAAACCAGAAGCTGCAGAGATGCGGTTTCACAGAAGGATGCAGCGAATACACTCACACACACAGTCACACACACACACACGCACACACACAGTCGCAAACACAGTCACACACACACTCTCGAGCATATATAACAACTATAATTTTTGAGCGCTATGGCCATCATTTTTTTCTATTATTTATTTATTATTATTATTATCATTTTGAATAGCGGACCCGTCGACATTTACTTCCAAGAAAATGAATAGAAGTAAAAATCGCGTTTTTTTTTTCCTTCAAATTTCCCTTCGATATTATGACGTCCGCGGAAGAAGTAGCAAAAAAATAACAAATAAATGATAATAAAAAAAATAAAAAATACTAATCAATTTGCCTATGATTTATTGTGTATGTTATCGTCCCCCCCAAAATATATATATATATATATATATATATTATATATAGTATATATATATATATATATATATATAATATATATCTATCGTGAATATGTTTGATTTTGATTTCCAAAATAATAAATTCTGGTTGAAAGGATTCTTTGTATTTTCATTCAACTCCTCGAAGATTCTAGTAAGACAGAATTGTATCTCCTCCAGGTGGGGCTGGAAGTGATACATTCCTGTACACGTATTATTTTGGCGCTGGGTATTTATTTATTCATTATTATTATCATTATTATTATTATTATTTTGCCTCTCGTCGACATTTCATTACCACCAGACTTGCTCGCTATTCAAGATAAAAATGATAATAATGCCGAGGCCTAACGTCAGTTATAAGGAGAGGACAATTGAATTTCTCGATACATTAGACGTCACTGATTCTCTTGAAAACCGACGCCTCTGTTGATGGTGCAAGAACAATAGTGCACGCCAACGTTAGCAGACACTTAGATATAGTTTACAATAAATTATGAGAAAATAAAACACCCAAACAAACATGATACTTTACATTTGACTGATATGTGTATATATATTCCTATTTATCTTCTGTCCATCTATTTATCTGTTTATCTCTCTGTCTGTCTATTCATCCATAGATAGAGAGATAGAAGTACAAAGATATAAGTATTGATATATTAAGTATTGATATATTAACGATAAACCTAGCTAGAAAGATATAGATACAGACATACAGATATGCAAATGTACAAATATATTTAGGAAGAAATGAGTATACCCAAAGCATGAGAGAGGCGAAATTTAACTTTGAAAACAATATAATCAACAAATGTACAAGTCAACCAAAACTCTTCTTTGACTAAAATAGTAAAACTAAGAGTAGAGATTAAATTACCGCCTCAAAAACAATAACATTATTTATTCTGAAGAAAAATCGTGCGAAAATCCTAAATGAGAAATTTCAGTGTTTTTTTCAGAATCCATACTTTGGTAAATATACGTACAAAAGTAAAGAACTTTGAAAATATCACCCTCAAAAAGAATGAAATGAAAGTCTACTAAAAGGATTAGACAAGACCGAAGCAGAGGGACCAGATGGAATTTCTAACTGGGTTCCCTGGGAATGTGCCGAAGAACTATGTACTCCTTTATTGTAAATATTCCAAAATTCAGTGAGACAAGGTAAATTACCCAAATGTTGGAAACTCGTCAATGTTACACCCTTATATAAGAGCGGCGACAAACAAAATCCATTAAATTATGTTTCGTTAACTAGTGTAGTATGCAAGCTGCTAGAAAGTACAATTAGGAAACAATGGGTTGAAATTCTTGAAGAACACGAAATGATATCAAATAAACAATTTGCTTTAAAAGAAGGAAAGTCAAGTGTACCAAATCTGTTTTTTTATGATAGAGTATCTGAAATATTACAAGAAAGAGACGGCTGGGTGGATTGTATGTAGGACTATAAAAAGGCTTTTGATAAGGTGTCTCATAAGAGACTACTATGGAAATTAGAGTACCTAGGTGGAGTGAAAGGCAAACTACTCGCATGGATGAAATATTTTCTTCATGAAAGACAGATGAGCACAGTGATTAGGGGGAAGCATTCTACATGACGATGAGTAACCACCTGAGTGCCTCGAGAATCGGTTTTGGCTCCGATTGTTTACTATTTTCGTCAATGATTTAGAGTCAAACATAAGCCCCAGTAGCTATCTGAATATATTTGCAGATGACGCAAAGATACAAAAGAAAAAAGAGGATAACAGACTACCTCTCATGCCAATGCCTCCAAAGTGACATCGAGAACTTATTTACGTCGAGTTGTACATGGAAAATGGAATTCAATATCAATAAATGCCACGTAGTCAGGTTCGGAGAAAGTAGAAATCGCCCACTATTCCAATATAAATTAGGAGACGCAATATTAAACAGCTGACAGGGATAAAGATCGGGTAATCATAAATGGAAACCTAAACCCAAATGATCATATAAATGAAAAGGTCCACAAAATGCTAGGACTGATTGCCAACATGAAGAGGGCAATCGTGTATCTGGACGAAGATATGGTAAAAATGATAATTGTAGCAATCATAAAACCAAGTCTAGAGTACGGTGCAGTGGCATGGTCCACACTTAAAATAGTGTATTGATAAACTGGAAAGAGTTCAGAGACTGGCCACAAGATGGGCACCTACTCTAAGAGATATGTTACGAAGATAGACTACAGAAATTAGGACACTACCTTGGAAGAAAGAAAAGGGGGACGGCTTATGCTGTTCAACTGTATTACAGGAGGAGTGAAGTTTGATAAAGATGACTTTTTAATCTTGAACACAAGAAGGACGAGAGGACACAAAACAAAAAAAAAGAAAAGGTAATACTGTAAAGATGTAAAAAAAAAAAAAAAAAAAAATTAGTTTCCCCAAACAGAACCACTGAACCATGGAACAGGCTCTTCTGTATTGAAAGATGGAATAATGCACTAACGCATTTATATGATGAATACAAAACCTCTCCGATCGGGATTCGATCCCACGCCGCCGTTGCAGGAAGGTAGCTGCAAGACGGGCACTCTACCACTTACCACCTTCTTCTGTATTGAACCAACTAGGTAAGAACACGCACGCACGCACGCACGCACGCACACACGCACACACGCACACACGCACACACGCACACACACACACACACACACACACACACACACACACACACACACACACACACAACACACACACACACACACACACACACACACACACACACACACAACGCACGCACGCACGCAAATGAGTTGTGTAGAAAAACCTACAATGACAAAAGATTTATTGAAATGAGACAACAGTTTCGGAATTGAATCCGTATTCAGGTCTTCAGATCTGGGATTGAGGGTTTTTCTATCACAGTATTCATACGGTATATAATATATATATATATATATATATATATATATATATATATTATATGGTGTAATGTGTGTGTGTGTGTTGTGTGTGTGTGTGTGTGTGTGTGTGTGTGTGTGTGTGTGTGTGTGTATGTATGTATATATATATATATATATATATATATATATATATATATATATATATATATATATATATATATATATATATAATATATATATATATATATGCACATCACACACACACACACACACACACACACCACACATACACGACTCTAACGAAAGAAAATCCAACCAGGCTGAAAGGCAATACAACAAATTGCCTCCTCCTCACACAAAGATATTTCTTATATAATGGGTATTTTTGTCATTTTACCAAGTCGGCTAACAATCCTCTCAAAAAAAAAAAAAAAAAAAAAAAAAAAAAGTTATCGATAAAAATGACATCGCATTACCTCTCCTAGCCATAATGAGTTGACTTAAGTCCCTTCTTTCAAACACAAAAGAGAAAGGTCAAGAAAATATAAATATTGATGAAAAGGACAATCTAAATGCTCTCACTGTAATCATAATAGGATAATTTGAATCCCCTCTTCAGAACCACAATGGCATAACTTGAATCCACTCTTCCTATCCCCAGAGAGAAGGAAAGGTTCCAGAAAATATTGATAATGATATTACATGACCTCTCCCTCCTTCTTTAGCTCCGCCCACAATCAGCTGATCCAGTTTGTTTTGGTTCCTCCTCACACGTGCTTTTACCTCTGGCGATTTTTATTTGAGAAAAGGGGAAATTGAGACGTTTATGTGTCCGTGAGGTATGCAATTTTTAATGTATTTTAAAGTTCAGTGGGTGGTTGTTTTGTTGATTCGTATGTATGTGTAGAAAGAGTTAGTTAAACATTGTTTTAAGAAGAGAAGGTTCGGAGTAAAAAAAGGTGTTCGTGGGCTTGAGAAATTTGATTTTGAAGGTAGTTGATTATAATTGTATACATGTTTTTTCTTGTTTTGTGAATGTGAATTAGTGTGTACAGAATAGACGCCCAGTATTAAAAGCGTAAAGTATGAGTTGAAGAGAAATGAAAGACACTTTCCTTATATACTTTGAAGAGCAGTGATGATACAGGACCCGACAGGGTAGGAGTATGAATTATACCAAGGGACTTGCCGTGTCAACTTCAGAAATCGTGATGTTATTGATGAATTACACTATTGATATTCAGATATTGACACATTATTTCAATGGGTTACTATTTGTACAACTACAACCTTCTCTGTGGAGGAGTTATATCTAGGGTCCACAAATACAAAAGTGCCAACATTTACCTTTACTTACGGCCCTGTAGCAAATGCAAGGAAAACTTTCAGCTTGTATATTCTAGCAAAATAGAGTTTAGGCTGATTCCTTATGTCATGAAAAATCACCATGGAGGTCTAATAGTTTTATCGAGCTAGAATATACTGGTGATATAAATGCTATAGTGTATCAGTGCTGAAATTGTCAAAACTGACAATTTGAAATATACATATATTGTTAGTATGCATTAAAAATAACCGGTCCCAAGTAGAAATGTTAGTTTCAGTTAGATGACACTTAATGATATCTACCAGTGTGTTTTAGTTTGTGTCCTTTTGCTCTCACTAACTGGAATGACTGGCCATTTTGTAACTGATTTGAATTTTTGAGGGCTACAGGTGGAGTACTATTTTCACATAACAGTTTATTATAGATTTAATTGGCTCAGTCATCCTAATAGGAAGACCTGTTGTGATATTCTATTAGCATTCTATTTTGTGCACACTGAGTGCCTAGTATCTAGTACCCTTTTGATACAGAAAGTTTATTAGTGCTCTTGGCTTTTCTTCATCTTCATTGTCTTAAGTGCCCTAATTATTCATTTACAAAAAATGGTATAAAAGGAAAGTCAAATAATTGAAGCTAAGATTTTCCCTCTTTTAATGTTAAGTATATTCAAGTATTACAAATAATAATCCTTTTGAGTATCCCCATTCTTTTGAATATATTATTGTGAGCATCATCTTTTGAGACTATTAATGTCATAATCCCCATTGAGTACACCTGCAGGTTAAAAAGGATAAATATATCAAAAGATATTCTTGTGGATTTAATGTGCAAGTACAGTAGAATAAAAGAATGTGTACAGATGAACTGTAAGTGACTTTGACTATCATTATGGAAACTATGTGATGTTGCAACCATATATTGGATTTTTTGTAAATGTAAGAACAGGGGAGTGGATTTGGAACCCTTGTGGTAGGAAAACTGCTGGTAAAAAAGAATGACAATGGGCATATATATGTGTTTCATGTGAGTATTTTTAAATGTGCAAAATCATATTTTATGTAGCAGTTCATGACAATGACAAGAAAAGAATGTATTGCAGTGGAAACACTAAGTTTAGATGGTGGATGTTTGTACTGTAATATTTATTGCCTTGTAAATTGTCATAAATCATTATATTGGTATCGTTTCAGTGCTAATCATCTATATATTCTTCATATTTAGCCTTTTGAATTGCACTGAAATAAATTGATGAATTTCTCCCTCCCTCTCTCTCCCTCAGCTGACAGCAACAAAGAGCATAGCATCATGGGAAAAGTGAGAAGAGTTCGACAGAAGTATCACTCCAGCCTCTCCAAGAATACTCCAAATGCAACAGAAAATAAGGATATGGGCACAGATGCTCCAAGGCTGGTTCCCATTGTGAAGACAAAAACAGATCAGACTGGAAAATCAAGGTTAGTTGTGTGGGTATAATTTTTGGAGGAACTTTTGTGTGAAAAGTGTTGTAGCACTAAAGTGTAAAATGTTTTTTTTGATTGAATTATTATGTGTATTAACTAACTTAGAAGATTATGACAATGATATTATTATGCAGTATATCAATGACTATTTTAATATGCATTTTTTTCCCAATGCTTTACTCACTTTATTATCTCTTTTATGTAGTGGGAACATATTTGCTGGCTTAGAGATCAATTTAGGGGGAGCCAAAAAGACTGCTCCTAAGACAGATGAGGTGATGGACACCACAGTCTCAGATTCTGCAGACCAAAGGAGCAAAGGCAAGAGGATCAAGAAGGGGAGGATAAAACAGCGTCATCAGGATCTAATGAAAAGTAGGCTTTTTTTTATGATGAGTGATGGTGATGTAAATATAAACATTTTCTCTGATACAAAGAGTGCATGTCAGGGGTCACCAGTCTGTTGATAATTGTTTTAATAAAAGTATGCATGAATCATATGTAATGTAATAGCTATTTTTAAGTTCCATTTTCTTATTTCATGTTCCTGTCACTTATCAAGTTAGGCAACTAGGAAATCCCTTAAGAGCAGACAGTGATCTCAGAAACTGCATAATTAAATTGAATGGTTGCTATTAGGAACAATTTAAAAGTTAAATCAGGATGTAAAATCATTAAAATGTATTGAATGGTTCATATTTCAAGCTCAGAAGGTTGAAAATGTTATTATATATGAACTACATTTTAATCTTGATGCAAGCTTTTGGATTAGCTGGCTGGTTAAGGTACTACAATCACTAATCAGCTGATGGTTTGTGTATTTTATTCACCTGCTTTGAATCCTCAAATGCCAGCCTATCTGCTTTTTGGAGTAAATATTATTGTTTAGAGAAAGATATATAAGCAGTTACATTATTATACCGCACTGTGAAATATTGTTTCATTCTTAAAGAAGCTATAATTATTCAGGTGTCAGTACAAGTCAAACAACCTTAGTTTTCTCACAACCAGAAATGGAGTAGTTCATGCCTTCAAATTAACAAGATATTTTGAAACCTGCTGTGAGATTTTACATACTTTTTGCATACAGTAAGCAGATATGATTTTTTTTTATACCATTGCCAAATACATTTCACACATGGTAAGAAGATAGGAATATCATTTAAGGAGTAAAAAAGGTATAAAAGGATTTTAAAAGTTACTAATTATATTCCGTAATTTAAATTGGTTTGAGTTCATTGTACAATACATTTACCATTTGCTGTAGGAAGTGATATTCCTCATGCTATTCCATCCTGTTCTTTGTAGAAATTGATGCCATCCAGGCAGGCAAACAGGCAGAGAAAGAGCGCAAGAAACGCGAAAAGACGAAAGTAGTAGGTGACTTGCATCCCATGCTAAATGCGCTGCCAACATTGGAGGAACTGATTGCAAATGCCAGCAAGCAGCAGACGAGTACAAAGAAGGGAACAGGTTTAAAGAAACAAAAGGAAGCTAAAAAAGAATTGTAAGTGTGAGGGCATCTTACTGAAATGTGAAGTTTCCATTCAATTCCTTTCTTCTTCTGTTCAGAGCACTGATACAAGAACAGTGTTACTTGTGATTATCCTTTATATTCCAGAGACAGTATGCCCATCTTTTGTTTTTCTGATAAAAGTGTTCAGAATACAGATACATTCCATTATTCATGTCTTTATAGCATTTTACTTATTTTTCAGCATGAGCGACATACAGATGATGTTAGCTGTTCATAAGGACAAGATATATAATGATGACCCATTTGAGGCTGTCACCACGGCAGTCAGAAATCGAGTCTTGAATGATCAAGAAGGACAGTAATAAAACATATCGTTTTCTTGATATATATATGTTAAATATATATATATATACATATCCATATATATATATACACACACACACACACACTTTCCCTAGAAATATAAGTATAAAAATATAAATATTTTCTCTACCCTTAAGTTCTGCTTATATCACTTTATGGGTTTTTGTGACATATTCCATCAGTGAGTTGAAACAATTGTAAAGAAATATAGTTTCCATATGCAAAATAAGCCTAGAAATCATGCTGCTCCTTTGTTGTGGAGACAGCTAATAGGTTATTTATAATATATAGAAAAAAAAAAAATAATAAAAATTAAGCCAAGAAACCCACTTGCACATGACAGCTGAATAGAACTGCACAGCTGATTACTGTACAATAAAATACAGCTGATATGACGCCAACAGCTAAAGATGATCATGAACCACAAAAATAAGTACTACCAGTTTATGAACAACAAAAGGAACACTATTAAATTGGCCACTTAAGTTTTCTGCATTTCATCAACATTCTTGTTTTGGCAGAGTTCATATTTATTTCTAAGTTGTAATTCCTAATAAATTACTATAATTGTGTCAGAACTCAGATTTTCCAATAATTTGACTATGTAGAGCATAAAGTATAGAAATTCATCATGCAAATGTCGAGTCAAGTTAGACATGATGGAATTTTTCATTTATATTTTCTCCTTGCTACTGTTCCTCAGCCTCTTCTTCCTCCTCCTCTTCATATGCTTCCGAGTCTTGGAGCATTCCTGACGGTGCAAAATGTTACTAATTAATGGAGCAAAGTGCTGTTACTGAGGTAAACTTATCAAGCTTATTTACAGCCATGACCAACAAGAAAGGTTATAAATAACTGCCTTTGCTTTAAGAGAAAAACATAATATAAAAGTTAAAATCTACTGTGACAATTCATATATCTGTATACATCACTCTGGCTGAAGGTGAGAAATATTCACAACTGTAATCTAATACAAGGGGTCATTACTATATTTTCCTTGCTTTGATTAGAAGTCCTATGGGACAAGAAGACCACTTAAATATACCAATTACCAGAATGAAAAATAAAAATTTCTGATAAATCCTATTAAGCCTGTGATTTACATGAATATGCTAGTTCTTACTCTGAATGAGAGGTGCAGCATCTAGATTCAGGGTGCTCTGGTTAATTTGAAGTTCCTTCATGGTTATTTCACTCGGACCTGTACAATCATTGACACCTATGGGCAACATCTGTAAAGGTGGCAATGCCTAGAATCAAATTAGTAATCGTTATGATATAGTATAAGAAATATAATTAAAAAAAAGTTATAGCCACAAAAATAAAAAATTAATAACAAAAGCAGTAATACTAACAAAAACATTGCAATAACAACAACACTAATACTAATGAAAGAAATAGTACATGCACACCTGATTGGATTGGATTTGCTGGTAGGAATTCATGTCTGCCTCCAACACAGGAGCATTACGAGACTTCAGCTCCTGATCTTCCTTGCCTCCCAGTTGGTGCATAATTGTTAACTCTTCTACCTTTCAATGGTGAAGAATGGAGAAAAGGGAGAGAATGAAGAGGGCGTCAGTAATGTTTAGTGTTT